GAGCTACTTTTTTACCAACGAATAGTGGGATTGACCGTCACATTATAACGGCTGAAAGGACGAGCATGTTTGATGGGATTGCGAGTCGCGCGCCCTAACCACCTGGCCATGCAGGGCCGTAATGGTATTTGCTAATTACTAAGTTCACCTTGAAATTACATTCTGCTTTCCATATTTCTATGATATTATAAGTAAATTATATTTTATTCACCTATTTTATCTTATACTTGTTTTTGTTTTTTTAAGTTAAGTACAAAGCTACACGATGGGCTATCAGTGCTCTGCCCAACACGGGTATCGAAACCCGGTTTCTAGCGTTGTAAGTCCGCAGACATACCGCTATGCCACTGGGGGAGGGGGCTTATATGATACTACTGGAGGTTTCTAGGTAATTTTAGAAGAGACACTTCACACACATACATTCATTCAACAATCTATTCATTTTGCATTTCAAGGCAATAATTTCTCAATTTTTTTTTATAACACTGGTGTTTTAGTTTAAAGTAAATTCAAAAGTTGTATGAATATTTACATGCGAGAAACTTACCAGTCATGCATAAAGTGTATAAAGTATCGTCTTCAGTAGGGTACTCTATAAACGTTGGTGGGTCTTTAACTTGTGTTGGTGTAAGCTCGTTGCCAAGATCAACTTCACAATCGTCATATTTCACCTGCAGTAAGTGAGAAAAGATCCAAAACAAACACAGCTTATAACGATTGTCGACAACGCACAAAATACTCCAGAAGTTAGATTATTCTCACAAGTAAAATAATAATAACTTTACTAACATCCAAAAAAAAAAGAGTGAATTATTAAAAAAAATGATAAACTGGAGTTCATTGATTATTTCAATTCTACGAAAGAACTTTGATAAAACTACAAAAATATTGAATTTAACAAACTATGATCTCAGATTATGCACTGAAAATAATTATCTTCAAAATTCTACACATAAAGAGTCCAATCAGCCTAGATTTTCTTGTGACACACAAACACAATTGTGAACCTCGGCATTTTTTTTCTCTCTCTCTCTCTTTCTTTCTTTTTAAACCATCAAATGTAACCAGAGAGTTCTAGAAAGTTCTAGTTAAAGATTAAAGAAATGGAAGATAATTATACACACACAAACAGAGATAATTATACACACACAAACAAAGATAATTATAGACACACACAAACAAAGATAATTATACACACACACACACAAACAAAGATAATTATAGACACACACAAACAAAGATAATTATACACACACACACACAAACAAAGATAATTATAGAC